TTATATATAAATATGAACTATTGTTTATTCTTAGTTCAATCTTAACTTATTCACTTCTTTAATATAGAATATTAACATATATGTTCAACATATGATGTTATACATATTGATGTCACATAAAAAAAAGAATAAATTTAATATAAATGTACTGAGATGATAGCAATATGTTCATAAATGTAAAACATAGTTTATTCTTATTTAAAATTTACCTTATTCAATTGTTTCATATTACAGCGGCAAATTTAGGGGGGGGTCGATGAGAGTGATCACCACCTCCTCTCCCCCTTCAGAAAATTTTTCTTTTTTTACAGCAAAAATGAACAAAAAAATAGTTTCATACTACTTAGATTGGACTCAAACATAGTTTTTAGCCAAAATCGCTCCTTCCTTCCAAAATCCTAGATCCGCCACTGTATTTAATTGATGAACAACGTTTATTTTCATCAAAAGGTATTGTCATATCAATATTACTTAATCAGAAAAAGAGAATTGTAGTATTTGTTTAATGCTTAAATTATTTTCATTTAGATGATGAATTACGATCTAAACTTGTATTAGCTTTTTATATGCCTCTTGTCGTCAATCATTAACTTTACTAGAACAATTAAATTCTATTAAACAAATTGAATATTTAGAAATTAATATGATCCTTTATTCGATTAATTCACTGGATTCCTTCAAATTTATTAGATACATCTTTTTTGGCATAGTATTATCCAAGATGAAATAAATGATTCGTTAATATTAAATCAAAGTAAACTTTATCATGTCTATCTGGCATATATTTATTTCTCTATTAGCAATGGAAATATAAATATTGACAATACACATCCACTTGATCCATTAGATCGTATTGTTCGTCAAGCCATAAATAGTAGTAATGATGAAAATGATAATAATTTAATTCTTAAATATCCAGCATTAAGATTAGTATTAAAATATTCAAAAATAAATTCATTTGATATAAGTATTTATCATTTACTTGATTGTTACAGTCAATTAGATATATCACACGATATTTTACAGGACATGAAGGAAATATATTTCTTGGAAAAAAAGATTTAATTGCTTTACATGATTGTTTTTTATCATCAAATGATAATAATAATAATAATGATACAAATGATCAACAACAATCAATTCATTATCGATATTTGTTTCGACAAAATTTATTTTTTTTTATATATATGATGAAGATACATTTCCCATGCATTTATATGTATCAATAATAAAAATTTTAAAAAACAAAAATACAACAAGACTTAACATCAATATCATGAAAACTATTATTATCAATAGCAAATCTTAATTCATTGAACTCAATAAAACAATTAATTTTATTTAATCTTTTCTCTTGAAATATATTCATTAAAATGTATACCAACATTATTAACATATTATACTAATCGTTCTTGTTGGTTTGAAATATTATTTATTGCACAATTATTTCATTATAGTGCAGATGATATTATATCATGTTTGTCATTAACACAACAACTAAATATGTTATTTAAACATTTAAAATGTTGTTTGAAACGTTTAGTTAAACAAAATATTTTCGTTTTATTAACTGATCAAATATTAACATCAGAACAACTTAAATTAAGATTTCAACAAGGTAAATCATTTGAACTCATGAGTTGTCTTGTTTAAGTTACAGTATGTATGTATGATGATTTTGTATTAATCTGAATCTTATATTTCAAACTTATTTATATTATCTTCGATAAATATATATCTTATTCATTTATTTAGGTGCTTAACAATGTTCTTGTCCATTATTAGCCGTTCTTTATAGTGCACTTCTACAAGTATCATCAATCGATGCATTTATTTCCAGTTACATCAAATTTTGCTAATTTAGCTAGTCGTTTATTATGCCATATAGCTGGACTTGGTCTTGAAACACATATATTTGCACCTGAAAGTAGACTAGAATCATTGATACGTTTTTGTCATGCGTATATTAATATGAATGAATAACCTATACCAACATTTGTATCTTCAACACAAGCAAGTATTGATCTTGGACAATCATTAATATGGTTTACATAATTAACAATAGAATTACTTTTATGTGTCTTTCGACAAGTATCATCACATACAGATATACATTCAATTTTTCATTTATTTGGTGAACCATTATTTGTTTTATCTCATCAATTGAACAATTAATAAAACATGATCGATTTGATTTAATTGATGAAATAATAGAGTGTGTTGATATTGAAATTGGTATGACTTTATTTAAACGTTTTAAATGTTCATTTGATGAATATCAACATCCTTTAAA